CTGACGTTTCGTTGTTGCATGTATAGCTTTAACGAGCAGAGATGCCGTTGAATCCGTTTACGGAAGAGCTGCTATTGAATTGATTTCCGTGAGGGCTTTATGAAAAGGCGTAGCTGCTTTACGAGGACTTAGAAAAGCTTCAGCTTGTACTTGAATCGATCTTCCCTCTGAAGGATTGAGTTTGACCTTCCTTCGTCAGCCTTTGTCTATTCTGCTCTCCCCTTGAGCCAGAGCCCACCATACACGAAGACTAGTTAGACTACCTATACAACCTTCTCTTCTCCATGGAATTTATCTAGAAGAACAAAGCCGAACAGGAAAGAAGAGTATGAAGCTAGTCATGTCATATAGAGAAGGCGGAGATGGAGGTAGATTAAAGTCAAAAGAGAGGGGCCCCATGCAGCGAAGGGCCTGGTCCGCCAGTTAAAGTCGATTAGCCCGAGTTGTGTTACCCCACTTGATTCGCTTCCCTTCATTATGGCTCTTGCAAAGAAGAATTCGTAAAGATTTTCCCAGAACCCCAGTCCAGCCTCTATAAATAGGTAATTCGCTTGAATGAATTTTTGCAAAATGTCTTCGAAATCATTGGCTTTCTGTCCGGCTGCTTATATACATTATGACACCCCTAACCCTAGCTTGCAGTGTTCCCCTCTCGCATGCCGTATCCGAGAGTTGCCTATTGTTGGAATATGGAGGTCAATGTAACCAGGACTTCACTTTGTTTCGCTTCGTTTGTTTCCTTTCAGTCGAGACTCACTTTTCTCTCCTCTCACTCCTTACCTTATAGGTAATAGGTACCGACCTTAAGATTGAACTCTTGGTCAATTACATCGAACCTTCCATACTTTCATCGAATCCTGGATATCGATCGAGGACCTTACTAGGTTAAACTCCTCTGGATGCGAGGGGAAATAAGGGAATTCAAGGAAGCGTCGAAATGCTGAACGAGGATGAGGATGGAAGCCCAGGAAGGGGGGTTCCGGTAGCAGTTCGAAGTGGTAATCGACTGATCCTGCTTCGGTCGAAATGAGCATCTAAAGATTAGAAAAGCCCTTATCTTTAATAGAAATCTTTATTGGCCGACCCCCTATCTTTTTCCCTGGCATTGATTTCCTTCAATGGATAAGAGACGGATCTCCTATTGATAGGCTTTCCTTCTGTGATGGCTCCCTTCCTGTGGTTGGAAGAGATGAGTTAGGAGATCCTTAAAAAAATGTACGAACGAGTTGGCCTATTCTTTCCTGCTGTTTCATCACCCGGGCTCATGATCAGCTTATTGGGGATACGAGAGACCCAATGCCAGATAGCTTTCTGAGGCCTTTTTTGACCAGCCATTCCCTTGATACGGCGTCGATCGAGGCGCAGCCCGCAAGCCCCAGAGAAAGAACCCTCGGCACAGGTTTAGGCTTGCAAACCAAAAGGGTCATCTAGGGGTAACCCTAATAGGTCAATTACATCGATCCTACTCGACCACAGAATCAATCGGGGGGCACGATCTCGCGAATTACTTCTTAATAAATTCTATGTAAGAACCATAGCATTTCGTGATTCAAAGTCAAATCGACTTTGATTCTCTAACAACCAATACGATTGCTCAGAGGACTTTTCATACTTATGAAATTTCCACGAAAGGTGAATGGAGGTCAATGTAACCAGGACTTCACTGAACAAGCAAGGGATTGAGCAACTAGAACGAAAGCCGTTGCGCGTTAGCGCATCTATTTTCTTGTTGGGTCCCAGATAAAGCATTGATTGTTCTTATTCCCCGGATCCACTGATTCAAGGGTTTGATTTTCTTATATGGGATGGACAGAAGAGTTTGAAGGGGCGAGTGACTTTAGAGTTCCACTGGTTCCAAAGGCTAAATGCCGGAATAGATAGAAGAATCCCGAATGAACAACCATCCACAAATGTCGATTCATTCAAGCAAGAGAGTGCAACAATCCTTTCCTTTGACACTGGTCCCGTAAACGAGTGAAAAAGAACATCACATATTATCTTACTCTTAGGGCAATTATATTGCGCCTCTATAGACTAACATATTTGAATATCCATTCATGTAATATAGCCATCAGACCATATGGATGATGGTAAGCAAGCAAAGAACGAGCAGACATGGCAGAGAAATCCACCCTTGACGTAAAAGCACTTAGCAAACTCAAATGCAACAGTGTCAGAAAGAAGAGATTTTTGAGTTTCTTTTATTTTTTTCAACTCCTAATTTCTGAATACACTGAAAATCAACTTCAGCAACTTGCGCATCAGCGTTGACAACATCATTACCGAGCACACTGATTGGGACACATCAACTAAGGTTGCTTTTGAAGGAGACCTACCAGAAAGAAGTTCCTAATCTCTGCCATTGCAAAACCCCGACATATTTTATTTGTCTCAATCCTAACCTCATACATATTTCTAAGCTAAGCAAGTCCAGTGCTACAGGCTTCATTCGACAAAACAAAAGGAGATGGTTCTCTTGAGAGGTATCGGGCACGGTTGTGTGCTTCTTACTTAATTGTTGACTGTCGTGCTGACTCTTTCGCGCCTAACCCTATATACATTTGGTTTGGTAGTTCCCCGTCGGTTCTGTACAAAGCAGGTTGACGACCTTACAAAAGCCCTAAACGACTCGATCTAAGATTGATGTTGTGCTTATCGCCCTCCTAGGTGGCATGATGTCAGATACCGACAATTTGGTCAATTTCCTGCTCACTTTTTCAAGTAATTCCTCATTAATTGCAAGGGATAAGGTCGTCTGTCACCCGTCCTTTCAGCTGCGCCTACTTTTCTGCCACGCGTCGCGTCTGCCGCATTTGTTAGGCACTTTAATGATAGAGCCTCCTCGCATAACGTGCCCATTTTGAGTACTGTATGAATTAATGCTTTCCACCGTAAGATCTGGCCTTAATCCAACGGTCCTCATCTTCTAAACTTTTAATCTTCCAGAGTATAAATTCAACACTTAGCAAATTTTCAGACTTTTTTCACATTTGCAACTCTCACCTTCCTTTGCATTCAAAAATTTTCTCTGCAAAACTCTAGCTTTTCCCGGCGACTCCTCCTGCAATCCTCGAGCTTTCCTATTTCTCTCTTCTGCAATTATGAGTAAGTTACTCCTCGCCTAATTTTACATTTCTCGTATCTGAGATTTTTGCGTTTTGAATTTTCGAATTGGGTATCTGAGGTTTGCTGATTGAGTGCTTTGAATTTGTATGTTGGATGTCTGTGTTCGCTTGTTAATCGATGTGCATTTTGCTTCCTTCTCCAAAAATCTCCTAAAATTTTTGTTTTCCCTCTTTAATTTTTCGAAATCACCCTTCTCGTAGAACACTAATTTTTTTAAGTTCCACCCTTCTCGAAAGTTTTTCCTCTTTTGACTTCAGTTTTTTTTT